AAATATATGAAGTTCATATATTTTGAACTGCGGTATTAGATACGTATGATGCACGATCCTCGCAGTAGATAGCGCTATTTAAGCAATAGCGAAAATCAGACCTGAAAAAAATCAGGCCTATACGGGATTCGAAACCCGTGAAAGTGATAAATCAGATACAATGAAAATATATGAAGTTCATATATTTTGAACTGCGGTATTAGATACGTATGATGCACGATCCTCGCAGTAGATAGCGCTATTTAAGCAATAGCGAAAATCAGACCTGAAAAAAATCAGGCCTGTACGGGATTCGAACCACTGACCTCTGCGATACTAGTGCAGCGCTCTACCAATTGAGCTAACAAGCCAACTGGGAGCAGGCCGTTAAGTTGATTCGTAATAAACCCGTGAAAGTGATAAATCAGATACAATGAAATATATGAAGTTCATATATTTTGAACTGCGGTATTAGATACGTATGATGCACGATCCTCGCAGTAGATAGCGCTATTTAAGCAATAGCGAAAATCAGACCTGAAAAAAATCAGGCCTGTACGGGATTCGAACCACTGACCTCTGCGATACTAGTGCAGCGCTCTACCAATTGAGCTAACAAGCCAACTGGGAGCAGGCCGTTAAGTTGATTCGTAATAAACCCGTGAAAGTGATAAATCAGATACAATGAAATATATGAAGTTCATATATTTTGAACTGCGGTATTAGATACGTATGATGCACGATCCTCGCAGTAGATAGCGCTATTTAAGCAATAGCGAAAATCAGACCTGAAAAAAATCAGGCCTGTACGGGATTCGAACCACTGACCTCTGCGATACTAGTGCAGCGCTCTACCAATTGAGCTAACAAGCCAACTGGGAGCAGGCCGTTAAGTTGATTCGTAATAAACCCGTGAAAGTGATAAATCAGATACAATGAAATATATGAAGTTCATATATTTTGAACTGCGGTATTAGATATGTATGATTTTCGCTATTGCTTAAATAGCGCTATCTACTGCGAGGATCGTGCATCATACGTATCTAATACCGCAGTTCAAAATATATGAACTTCATATATTTCATTGTATCTGATTTATCACTTTCACGGGTTTATTACGAATCAACTTAACGGCCTGCTCCCAGTTGGCTTGTTAGCTCAATTGGTAGAGCGCTGCACTAGTATCGCAGAGGTCAGTGGTTCGAATCCCGTACAGGCCTGATTTTTTTCAGGTCTGATTTTCGCTATTGCTTAAATAGCGCTATCTACTGCGAGGATCGTGCATCATACGTATCTAATACCGCAGTTCAAAATATATGAACTTCATATATTTCATTGTATCTGATTTATCACTTTCACGGGTTTATTACGAATCAACTTAACGGCCTGCTCCCAGTTGGCTTGTTAGCTCAATTGGTAGAGCGCTGCACTAGTATCGCAGAGGTCAGTGGTTCGAATCCCGTACAGGTCTGATTTTTTTTCAGGTCTGATTTTCGCTATTGCTTAAATAGCGCTATCTACTGCGAGGATCGTGCACCATATGTATCTAATACCGCAGTTCAAAATATATGAAGTTCATATATTTCATTGTATCTGCTACATGTTCAATTAATGGTTATTTTTCTCTTCTTAATTAAGGGCTCCTTCGCAGTTTCGACAACGCCAGTTTGCATTTGAACCTTCCGAAATAGTTGTTGAAATGCATTTCCTGTGAAAAAACTCCTTGTAGCTACAACATTTCACACAACGAGGAGACTTCGAGTCTGACTCTTCCCTCGGCATTCTACACTCGCACATTACCGAGACCTCTTGAACAAAAAGTGGCCTCCCGTCTCGACACTCGGGTAACTTTAGAGAGGGGAAAGGGGTCGAATGACCCACTCTCCAGGCCCTTTTAAAAATGTTGTCTTATCAGCTTCCTGTCGAATGTCAGATTAGAATGATTGAGGCCATGCAGTAGCGACACCAGAAAAGCAATAGCATAAACTCTACAGTCATCGTAATTGTTCTGCTGTTGCACAATTGGTACAATGACCTTAAAACTAGTTCCTTCCTCGTATATAATTGATGCAATCTGTTCCTGCACCAGGGCTGCAATTTTTCCTGAAAACAGGCTGTCGTTCAGATAAACTACCAAAGGAGTGTAGCATCCTACAGTAGACACCAACACCCAGTGATGGCTGCCAGTATTCAAGATTTGTGAGAATTGGCCTTTCTGAACAGAAAAATTAAAAATCGGCTCCAAAGTTGTATTTTCCAATCCTCTTGCGTGTGGGAAATGCTCCCTCAGAACAGACTGGGCTGCACCCACAATATGGTCGGTGAGCCAGTCCTTGTAAAATTGGTTGACAGGCCTACGCGACTCCCCAGCACGTGTTTAGAGGGCGATCCGCCTTTGGGCGACCGTCCTCTTTTTTAAGATACGAGAAGCGGATTTTTGTATGTTTCGTTCAGTAGTGGTTGTGTTTCTATTAAATGCCAGTGTCTAACGAGAATTTGCTTTAGGTTTGGCACTGATAGTTGGTATTGTGTAACAAGAGGCAAGATTCGTTGGTTCGTCTTTCAAGTTGTCACTGTTCAAGAGCTAATTTCCTGTTTTTTAATTTACTTCTTAGAAGGTTGTGCTAATTAGGTCCTCTGGGTAGCCTCTCTTTAGCAAATGCGCTTCATTTGTAATTTTCTCCTCGAATATTGTTTGAGAGGAGTTTGTTCTTAGAAGTCTAAGGGTCTCCCCTTTTATGAGGTCTTTTTTTAATTCTTTCTGGGTGACAGGAACTCTAGTGTGTATACTGAAATGTCCCAGTTTATTTTAAAATGAGTACGCGCATCAGGGATTGCGTCTAGTTCTTACAGTGAGCTCTCATCTACCGCTCACCATCCCCCTGAGTGCCTTTAGATCAAATCCCCCTACTTTATTCAAATGTCTACCAAGAAACATCAAGCCCAGGATATTACATGACGGAAAAATACAATCGTATTTGACGCAAAGATTGACGTCTCACCTGTGTTTCCCAAAACCTTTGTCAGTTGACTTGATACAACAGAATTTGGTGACGGTAGCAGTTTCATACTCTCGAAGAATGAACTCTGCTGACCTGACATCCTTCACCAGACCTGACCTTTCAGACAACCTTCTCTTAAACAGTAAACTCACATCTTGAGAAGTTAATTTACGTGCC